TGTCTGCATTTCTTGTCTATTTTATTAACTACATTTTCATTATTGTACTAGAGGCCTGGTGCACGAATTCATGCAAGGGTGGGGTCCCTCAGCGTGGCTGGCGATGGGGGCCGATCAGGGCCATCTCGCCCAGTCTAGGGGAAGGGACCGCAGGAGGTTGGCTGGCGTGGGCGGAGGGGGAGGTGGGGACCGCGGGAGGTCAGCCGCACTGACCACCTGGCCGGCCTCGGGGAGAGACCGCAGGAGGTTGTCTGTGGGAGTGCACTGACCACCAGGGGGCAACTCCTATGTTGAGCATCTGACCCTGGTGGTAAGTGAGCGTCATAGCTACCGGTTGGTCGTCAGGTTGTAATGGTCTCTTAGGCTTTTATACATATAGATTATTTTCCATACAATAAACTGTAGTAAACCTATTTTTTCCCCACCCTGTATGTTGCTAATCTTTTCTCCCAGGGGTTAGCTTGCCAACACCTTTTTATTTTAAAAATATCATACTTTTAATTTAACCCAGTGTACCTCTCTTTTCCTTTATGGTGTTGGTGTCTTATTTTATTTCTTTTTAAATATATTTGTATTGATTTCAGAAAGGAAGGGAGAGGGAGAGAGATAGAAACATCAATGATGAGAGAGAATCATTGATCAGCTGCCTCCTGCACACCCCACACTGGAAATCAAGCCCACAATCCAGTCATGTGCCCTGATCGGGAATTGAATGGTTCATGCCCATTCTTGTTTCATCTGTACTCCTTTCCTCTGCCCTGATATTCTGAAGCATAGTTATTTTATCTATAACTATTTTCATATTTATCTCTAAAGGTAAAGATTTAAAAGATAACCATAATACCATAATCATGCCTAAAATATTAACAGTAATTAATTCATCATGTCAGCTCTATAGTTGTTCCAATGTTGTAAAATTTGTCAAACTAGAATCTTACATTTTATACAGTTGATTGATATATCCTTAAATTGATTTTACTCTGTAGTGCATCCCCTCCCCCCCTTTTCTCCTTCTCTCTCTCCCTCTATTTCTCCTTCCCCCCTTATCTTCCTCTCTCCCTTGTTTGGTGAAGAAACTAGCCTATTTGTCTTGTGGAGTTTTTTACATCTGGATTTTTCTGAGTAGGTTTTCATGATATTAATTAATGTGTTCCTCAGACCTTGTCTTTCCTGTAAGTTGGTAGTTAGATCTAGAGAGTTGCTCATATACAGGTTTGATTTGGGAGAGTGGAAGGGCAAGACTGCTTTTTAGATGGTGTGTGGTATATACTTCCATCAGGAGGCACATAATGTTTGCTTGTGTCCTTTTGTAATGTGAACAGTTATTGATGATCTAAAGAGAAACTTGCCTTTATCAATTATGTTGTTACCCAAAAGTTCATCTAGTAAAGGCAAGATAAATGCTTGATTATTTTGTTTTGTTTTCAATTTTATGAATGATGAGTTGGTGTTTTCCCAGCATCTCCAAAAGTGACCAAAGAGGGTGGTTTAGTTTTTGTTTTGAAAGTATTATAAACTCATGGATTTACACATTCAATATTTTTCAATCCATTACACTTACTATTTTTATGGATGCACAGGATGTCCATCTGTGGCCTTGGGAAGTTTGCTCACATTGACTCCTGAGTCTTCTTACTGAGACCATTGTAGGCTTTGGTAGCTTCCTTGTTTGTAGTGTGACAGGTTGTTCTGGCTCATAGCTTTCTCTATCCCAGACCTGGAATCAACCATTTCTCCAAGGACCACTGGTTGATGTTAGTGGGAAATGGTATTTAGAGCTCTCTGGGCACTAGGTTGGTCATTACTGAATTGGTATTATTTCTAGGCTTTTTTAGTGGATAGAGCTAGGAATTAAAGATGAAATACATTCTAAGTTAATGCTGTACTTTCTATTCTGTTTCTACTTAATATCACCAATTGTCTATATCTCCCATTTAAAAATCTCGTCAACAATCTCAGTCATTAGCCATCTACACTAATAAAAGAGAAACATGCAAATTAACCATCACTTTGCCACTCCGCTACACCCACAAGCCACGCCCACCAGCCAATCAGGAGCGAGTATACAAATTAACCCAACTAAGATGGCAGCGGCCACGGAACTGGAGCGAGCAAGAGGCTTGGGTTGCCCCTGGCAATGGAGGAAGCCGAGTTTCCTGCCTGCCCTGTGGGCCCTGGGCTTTGCTCAAGGCTACAAAGTTTCAATTATAGAAGATAAATAAATAAATCCCAGATACCTGCTTCCAGCCCAGAAGGAGAGGCTGGGAGCTTGGGTCTCCAGGGGGCGTGGCCAGCCTGAAAATGGCCATCAGCCCCTCACCCAGGCTGTCCAGGCACCCCAGTGGGATCCCTCACGCTGATCTGGGACACCCTTCAGGGCAAACCAGCCGGCCCCCACCCGTCACCTCCTCAGCAGCGCTAAGGATGTCCGACTGCAGCTTAGGCCTGCTCCCGCTAGCAAGTGGACATCCCCCGAGGGCTCCTGGGCTGCCAGAGGGATGTCTGACTGCTCCCCTGGGGAGCGGGCCTAAGCCAGCAGGTGGACATCTCCCAAGGGTTCCCAGACTGCTTGAGGGCACAGGCTCGGCTGAGGGACCACCACCACCCCCACCCCCCCAGTGCACAAATTTCTGTGCACCAGGCCTCTAGTACTAATATAATTACTCATTTCTTTTGACCCACTGATTCACCACAGTTCTCAAAATTAACATTACCAATAACAAAAAGATTTATGAAAATAGATTCCTCCCCCTTTGGATTTTAAAGTCATTTGGAATGTTTCCTGTTTGTAGGTTCTATTTGTTTGATTTTAATTTATATTTTTAGGGATGGCCTTTTTTGTATTACTTAATTTTGCTTTGTAATTATAAAATATATTTACATGGTTTTAATATCTAAAAGGAGATATAGTCAGAAGTTTGGCTTTCTCTTGTCTCACCCTAATCCCTCACTGCTCCATGGGTTTAACAGTTTTATAATTTATCCTTCCATTGTTTATTTTTTTAATATAAGGAAATACACCTGCCCAGCTGGTGTTGCTCAGTGGTTGAGCATCAACCGTGAATCAGGAGATCATGGTTGATTCCCTGTCAGGGCACATGCCGGGATTGCGGCTCAATCCCTAGTGTGGGGTGTGCAGGAGGCAATCAGTGATTCTCATCATTGGTGTTTCTATCTCTCTGTCTTTCTTCCTCTCTGACTGTATCCCCTGTGCTATACTTTACATCCAGTGACTATTCTGTAACTACCAATTTGTAGTTAATCCTTTCACCTTTTTCACCAGTCTCTAATCCCCCTTCCCTCTGGCAACCATCAGTCTGTTCCCTGTATCTGTGAGTTCGTTTCCGTTTGTTTATTTTGTTACGGAATCCGATTCTTGTGCCTTATCCTCCTACACACCACCATTTTTCTTCCTCCCGAGTTTAATAATCATATTTGTAGTTTCTTAGTGCAAAGTGTTAGGTTCTCCATAGACTAGAAATTATGTTTCTTATGCTGGATGATTGAATAATAGAGAAAAATACAGATTGTTACTTACAAATGCTGTCTAGTAGCTTTATAGCATAGAATAAACTGCTTATTTTGTTGTTTATGTATGGGGTATGGTGTTGCTGGTTAGTTCTTATAAGATCTCACCCAATACTTAGACCTTTCTGTGTGTGTATATGCATGTGCTCTGTCACTGTTTCTAGGTAGAATTGAAGTTAGCATAATTATCAGGGACTCCTTTTTGTAGGAAAAGATCTGCAAAGCTAAAGTAGGTGTTTCTTTTTTAGCCTTTTTCCTTATACTCCTCACCTGTTTATTTTTACCATGACCTTAGAATTATCTTAATTTTTCTAAAGTTTTGATAAATTTTGTCAACAAGTAGGAGTCTGTCTCTTAAAGTAAAGTGCCCATAATATATCTGGTCTTAGCAGAGTCATTTAAAAAAACATTTAGTAAGTATTTACTTTAAAGAAATAATTCCTAGCCGGGTCTTTTGGCTTATAAAATGGAACTTGAGTCCCTCTAGTGGGTAGAGTATAATTCACTTTCCAAGCTTGAAACAGGAAGATGAACCAGCTTTCAAATCCACTGTTCTCATCTGAACTGGTGTCCCCTCTCCCCAGCTAAGAGGCAGTGCTTAGTTGGTCACTGGATTGGCTTGAACATTAGACAAAATTCACTAGTCCTTCTCTTCTGCCCATGTGATCCTGGTACACTGGCCATTTCTAGCATGTGATCTCACAAGCTGTGCCTCACCAGCTTCTTTCTTTCAAGCCTCAGCAAGTTTAAACAAATATGGTAGTTCAGGAGGAAGAATTGTGATTATCAGACTACAAGTTGGTGCTTTTAAGCCATGCAGTTCTTTATAGAAAAGAACACAGTGCCTCCAGGGTCTTTGAGTTGCCTTGAAGGGAATAATCACACAGGCCCATCTGGGGCACAACAAGTAGATTAAGGGTATTTACTTATTAGAGGAGTTGTTATGTATTGATCGCCAGAAGCATGGTATGGCAGCAGAAGGAACCTGGGTTTGGGTTCACATCCTAACTTTGCAGTTACTACCTATGTGACCTTGGGCTGGTTATGTAGCCTCTCTGTCTTAGTTTTCCCTTCTGTAAATGAGGTGGTGTTAAACCTATTTTAAGTATTAAAAATAAACATGCAGCCCTAGCCAGGTGGCTCTGTTGGTTGGATGTCATCCTGTACACCAAAGGGTTTCGGTTTGATCCGCAGTTGGGGCATGTGAGGAAACAACCATTTGGTGTTTCTCTCTCACATTGATGTTCGTCTCTCTCTGTCTCTCTCCCTTAACGTTTTCTAAAAATCAATAGAAACATAGCATTGGGTGAGGATTAATTAAAAAAAAATAATAACAAACATGCCAAAGAAAAACCTTTGTGTTTTGAGTGCTCTATGATTGATAGAAGTCATGGAAATTTCCCTGAGTTCATTATAATGCATTAAATTATTTCTGTAACTTTCCCCTCTTTTCCCACTCCTTTTTCTTTTAGTCACCACCAAGTAAGCGAAGAAAATTAGAGAAGCCAAGGAAACCCATCACATTTGTAGTGTTGGAGTCTGTGATGAAAGAATTATCCCTCAAAGCATCATCTTTGGGCTCGGGGACAGTGGAAGAAGGCATAGTAGTTGTGACGACATGGATTGAAAAAATTCTCACTGATCTTAAGGTACCTGGTTATATGCATTGAAGAAGTACTTGTATCTTTTATTTTATTTTCCTTTAAAAGGGGGGGGGGGAATGTTTTGAGGATGATTTCCTATAAAATTCTGTTTTTTTTTCTCCAAATAGGTCCAGCATAAACGAGTTCCTTGTGGAAAGGGGGAAGTTAGCCTTTTCCTAACAGCCATAGAAAACTCCTGGATTCATTTAAGGAGAAAGAAAAGAGAACGAGTGAGACAATTGAGAGAAGTTCCTCGAGCTCCTGAGGATGTCATCCAAGCCTTGGAAGAGAAAAAGTTCACCCCCGAAGAGTCTGGCAGTAGCCAAGATTTGGCCCAGGGCCCCCCGGAGAGCGGGCCTGCTCTACAGGAAGGCGAGTCAGCCACTGTTGAGGGCCATGGCCCAATCCAGGATTCGCTTTTCCAGGAAGGAAACCCAGGACCCATGGAGGATGAAAGGAGTGAGGAAAAGGGAGACATGGAGGTCTTGGAAAGTTGTAAAGGCTCTAGCAATGGAGCCCAGGACCGAGAGGCTTCTGAGCAGCTCATCAACCCAGTGTCTGAAAAAGAGCACCCTCTCCAAGGAGTGGCTGGACATTACCTTTTCAAGTGTTTGATAAACATTAAGAAGGAGGTAGATGATGCCCTAGTTGAAATGCACTGGGTGGAGGGTCAGAACAGGGATTTGATGAACCAGCTTTGTACCTATATACGTAACCAGATTTTCAGGCTTGTTGCCAGTTAACTCCAAACTTCTTGCACAGTTGGAAAAGTTCTATGAAGCAGCTTGGAGTGGCCTGTGGGGTGGCAAAAGGAATTCTGCCATGGGTCTATTGGTAGCATTATGTGGAATTACCTTTAAAAACAAAAACAAATTAATTCATTTTTAGACCTCCCCCCAATCCCCCTTTTTTAAGTTACAGGGCATTGTAGTATGGTAGTTCAGGAGGAAGAATTGTGATTATCAGCATCAACAAAAAGCCATCAGAACATTCATAATGGACTTAAACCTGAATTAAACTGATTACCTTAGCTTTAGACTGCTTCTCTGAGGCTAAAAGGATTATTTTTGGAACCTGGTCTGGGTCAGAACTGTACAGAGCATCCTGCTTTCTCATCCTCCAAATGGAGGCAGTACACCTGGACAGATCGGCTCTGTGCCCTCTTCTAGTGTCACCTTGAAGACTGAAGACTTTCTCTGGGTACATATGATTGACTGCCCCTGAGTCAGTCCTAGGAAAAGAACTGGCCCGATGGTAGATGGTGGGAGAGTCAGGGAGAGGAAGCTTAGTAATACCAGAAGAGGGGCTGATCTGGGGAGTGCCTGGAAACGTCACATTCCTGACTCATGTCCATTTTGATGTTGCTTATTCCAGAAACAATTAGGTAAGCAAAACCCGCAGATATGAGTGACTGAGACACAACAGAATGAAGCCATACCCTTACCTCCAACCTGTTGAAAGTACTGTTTGTAGTAGTTTTACTAGTATATGACATTTGAAATGGAGCTTTGTTTTGTTTTTAATATAAGAGTAATTCTGAATTGAAAACTGTCCATTCTGTTTGAATCCTGGGGTTGGGGAAATATACTCTTGAGTTTGAATGGGTGAATGATGATAAAAATAAGAAATAGAGCAAGATAGTTATATTGCTTAAATTCTCATCTATTGGCAGATCAGTTGTAGCTGATCAGTTACTACTTTGGTGTTGGTTCCTTAGTAATCCCCTCTGTACTTACCTACCTGTTAGCATAGGAGAATTCTGAGGCCAGGATAACCATGTTCTTAAAACATGTTTCTAATTGGAATGTCAGGGTTCAGCGGGAATGCCTCTGGGAAAGGAGTCTCATTTTTTGTTCTCTTGGTGTTTTGGTTACTCTTTGCTGAGCTTCACTTCAGCAGCCTGGTATTCTATTTATACTGAATTTTTTTGAGTATGATGCCAGACAGAGTCCCTTGTTACCTACAAAGAAGACCGGAGCAGAATAGTTAAAGCCACACTTTAGAAAGGTGGCTATTGGTCAGGGCAGAATACTGATGACCTTGGCATATTTTGGCAGTAGCTAGGCCAGGCCCTCGGCAAAGATACAGGAAATGAAAATAGGATTATGTTATACCTCCCTGTAGCGATGGAAACAGCTGCAGAAGATAACATAGTAACCCATCAGTGTTCTTAACCTGGTCTGTGAGCCTCAAGAGAATCCATAAACCTCCTGGGTTGTTTTTATTTTATTAAAGAAAATTTTTAATATAATTTTATTGATGTCGGAGAGGAAGGGAATCGAACTATGACCTCCTCATTCATAGGTCGACACTCAATCACAGCCATGCCGGCCGAGCCTGGGTTGTTTTTAAAAGCTCTGTGAGCATATGTGTTTTGTTTCATTTTGTTCCTGGAGAGAAGGGTTCCTGACAGAGCAGTCAGTAACCCACTCAGGATTAGGAACCACGGTTCTAGTCCAACCTCTCATTTGACAGGTTGAGGAGACCAGTCTTGGCCTAGGGTCACACAGAACCAAGGTTTAATGCATAGCCTTGGATTCCTCTGGTTCAATAATCTCCTGTGCTCACCCACACCAGCCTGCTGTATTGACCTCTGTCGACACATTTGAATCATATGCCAGACCCAAACCTAGGTAAATTTCTGTCTTGATAGAATTTTAGGGTAATTGAGTTAGGTGGCAACTAGTGGCCAATAAGTATTTATTTTTTGCTTGTTTGTGTCATTAAAAAAAGAATCTAGCATGTGCTCATTAAAGATTTGGAAAAGTGAAAGAAAACGGCAACAAAGTCACTCCCAGTCTCAGCCTTCTCAGACACAACCACTAATGGTGTTTTAGTATTTCCTTCTAGTCTCTCTTTCTGTAGATGGGGTGTGTGATTAGGTTTAACTTTGGTTGTACTCATGCTGTGTATTTAGTTTTATATTATGCTTTTTTCATTTTATACCTTATAAGTATTTTTCCATGTTATAACAGTAGTGCATTTATTTATACTCCTTGCCTGATCAAAATATATTTCAGGCACAGTATTAGCCTTTGTTTAGATCTAGTACTTAGAGATTCCCAGAGAATAAGCTATGTAACTGGAGGCACCAAAGATGTGTGCAAGTTTCATTGTCCCAGGTTTAAGGCTTTGTGTCATGGAGGAGGTTTTATAGGTGTTGTCAATGCACTTAGAGTTTAAAAGATACGTGACAAGGGAAGCTTCCACTGCTAGAGCTGTGAGTGTCTTCTTTGCATTTGGATATCTAATGAGAACATTGAAAACATTTTTTTAAATATATTTCTATTGATTTCAGAGAGGAAGGGAGAGGGAGAGAGAGATAGAAACATCAATGATGAGAGAGAATCATTGATCAGCTGCCTCCTGCACGCCCCACACTGGGAATTGAGCCCACAACTTGGGCATGTGCCCTGACTGGGAATTGAACCATGACTTCCTATTCATAGGTTGACACTCAACCACTGAGCCATGCTGGCTGAGCCATTGAAAACATTTTTAAAAGACATCTAGAAATTCTTTTAGGTATGCATGTACTTTATAATTGTGTGATATGTGATGTGATAGCATATAACTTTGGTATAGGGGAAAGAGCAATTTATTTTCTTTAAACAAATAGGTGATTGCCCTGACTGGGTGGCTCAGTTGGTTGAGCTTTGTCTTGTGCACTGAAAGGTCGCCATTTTGATTCCCAGTCAGGGCACATGCTCATGTTGTGGGCGTGATTCCCTGGTCCTGGTGCATGTGGGAGGCAGCCATTCTGATGTTTCTCTCTCTCTCTCTCCTTTCCTCTCTCTCTAACAAAATCAATAAAAACATTTTTTTTTTAAAAAAAGGTTATTGACCCATGTATCCTGTTGAATGATACTTGCCTTAAATGTCTGGAGGTCACGTTCATATTGATGGATTGGTATGGAATTAAATCTTTGTGGTATGATCTTAAATTCTATTCTGGTCCCTGGCACTGGCTTCTGATCTCCTATAACTCAAATGGTAACAGAAGCTGAACTTGTTTTCCAAGGAGGACTAAAGCTGCTTTTGTTCTTTGGAATCTGTTTTGCTTCCAACAGTTTGCTTCCCTGACCCCACATCCTTGCCTGGTTTTTCACTTACCAGAGCAGTGCTCCATGTCCTAGCAGGGTTGGCATCTCTGTGGTAGAGTTTCCACTAATTTTAAGGATTAATATTGATTACTTAAAACTTTAGTGTGTGTGTGTGTGTGAATATATATATATTTTAATGGGATGTTATTATTAAACAACATAAGGTATTGCATTTGTACATGTTCATATTTGTATATTGTGCTGATATAAAACAAAATCTCTCCTCTTTATATAATTCAAAGCTTATGATGTGATTACACCAGCTCCTACAAGTAATACAACTGCAAGGTGTGGAAAAGATGGAAAACCCAAGGCCTCTTAAAAAGAGGTAGTAACACCCAGCTGGCGTGGCTCAGTGGTTGAGCACTGACCTATGAACCAGGAGGTCACGGTTCGATTCCTGGTCAGGGCACATGCCCGGGTTTTGGGCTTGATCCCCATTAGGGAGCATGCAGGAGAGGGCCGATCATTCGATTGATGATTCTCTCTCATCATGGATGTTTCTAACTCTCTGTCCCTCTCCCTTCCTCTCTCTCAAATCAACTAAAAAAAAAAAAAGGTAGTAGCATTTTAAACTACAGCATTTTCCTCTGTGGCCACACGGGGGCACCTTTGGCCCTTTTTTCATTCAAGCACCTTCACTGCACTGTGGGAATGGATTAAATTGTGCCCTTGGTATTTTCTTGAAACCCATTTGCTACCCAGATAAATATTTTTATGTAAATAAAATTTGAAAAATAAAAGTAGAAAGAAGAAAAAAATCTATTACCCTATGGTCTTTTTATCTGGACATAATTTTTCAACCTTTTTATGTTTATGGTCTGACAGTTGACTGTTTTTTCTTTCTTTCCATCTGTCCTGCTACTCTAGAATATATCCAAGTAGGGTCAGTCCTTTGGATCAAACTTGATATCTAGTTAATTAGGGTGCTACAGAGGAATGGTTAGTGAGCTTAAACAGTAACTTTTCAAAAGCCTTATGTTATACGAAGTGTAATACAGAGAGTTCTAAGAAAGAAACTGTTTTCAATGTTCTTTTGTCTTCATTCTTTTGGTTTATCTGGCTGGCTGACTAGCATGCATGTAATGTGTTGTTTACGTCAATAGATGGCACAGTTGGTTCTGTGTTGGTATGTATTTTATAGGTTAGCTGGGCCTTCTTTCCCACAAGGGCTGTTTCTGTGTAGAACATGTATATTACTAACCCTGGGGTCTGTGTGGGCTCAAGAAGAAGTTCCATCCACCCTTATTTTTATGGCACAGGATCAGATGTTCTGGGTGGCCACCCAACAAATAGATCTGTACATTAGGAGGAAGAAGGCCCATTTTGGAAAACTGAAGAGCCCTCTGGGAGTCGGAAAGTCTCAAAGATAACAGCAGTTTTATAGCCATCCAGGAAGTACCTCAGGAATCAACTACTTGGCCACATTTTTTAGGGAAGTTGGTGCTTGGGAGATTGGATTTGCTGAATGGGCAGTAACCCCAGTAAAACTCAGAGGCGGCTTGCTAGTAGAATAAATTGGCTTCTGCCTCCTGGAGCAGGGCATTCAAGGTCTCGAACCTTTCTAATGCTCCCCAGTACAAATCTCTTGGTGCTCGTGCCAGCACAGTATTAGCCCTACATGGGTCTCACCCCACTAGCAGCAGGGCCTCACATACATGCCAGAGAGTTCCCACTCTGCTCTGTAAAGGCATTCAGATCCTCTGCTGTGACTCACCCAAATGACTAAAGCAGCAGTTTATTATTTTAATTGCTGGTTGGAACAGCTAATGCTGCCTTTTGGAGGATATGCTTTTACTCCAGGGACTATGTTGTGACTGAGTGAAGGCCTTACACCGCCAAATGCCCTTTGAGGTATAGCCTACCCGCCTATCTCAGCTGCTGCAAAAATATCAGAGACTCTGGGCTCTCCTCTGGGAACTGGAAGAGCCAGAGAAATGAGATAAGAAGGAATGAACTAGAAAGTGCGAGTGAACTTGGCATAATTGGCTTGTTTGTATATGCTGTTCTTAAGAGGGCAAAGTATGTTTAAATCCTAGGCTTTTTAGCCACCCTAAGGGAATGAAAAACAAAAGAGCACAGGCATCACAGTTCATCAGCCTCAGTTTACATTCCAGTTCCACTTACAGGATAAGTCAGTTTCACTAAGCCTTGGCTTCCTCATTCAAAAGATGAGGAATTCTTGCTTCCCAGAGTTACAGCAGCAGTTAAGCGAGAGAAGTACGAAAACATCTGGAAGGGCAAACAAAGAGTGGGCTTGTCAACTTGTTCATTTCTTGGTATTCTTTGAGTTTTCAATTTCTAGTCAGAAAATCTTCCAGTAACTCCAGTGAAAAGTCCCAAGGCCTCTAGTATAAAATTGTAGGTGTAGACTATCACTTTTTGAACAAAAGCAAAAGTGAAGCTTCCGTGCACTGCAGAAGTGAACAATATTGATTGGTCGTCTTTATATAAATTGTATCATTTAGTAACCCTGCAAAATGGTATGGTGTTCTTGTGTGATAGCTTTAAAAGAGATGGAAGCTCAGAGAACTTAAAGTGACTTGTCCTAAATTTATTCACAGAGCTAAGTCAAATAAATGGTATTTGAACTCAGGTCCAAAGATTCAGGATAACAGATCTCAAGATTTGGAAATAATTTGACCCACCCCTAGGAAAGGAGACGTCAATTATTTGACAGGGAATAGACAAAAAGCATCTCTTACCTATTCTCACCGTTTTGCCCTTTGAGGTTATATTATTTTCCAGCCTATGATCAATGAGCAAGATTTAATAAGTGAAATTACTTGTGATTAGTTCTTAATTTATGCTACCAAATTTCCATAGAATTTTGTATTTGGCAGTCGTGCAGATAATTAAGTAGTTAGTGAAACCACAAAATAAAATTCTAGCGCATGTACATGTTGGATCAGAATCAATGTGAAATAACTAAATAACTGATAATTAGGTAATGACTCCTAGACAATTCCTAATTGTATAATAAGTGAAGAAGGATTTTTAAAATATTTTTAGGAGACAGCACTAAATATTTCACATGCAGAACACAGAACTGATGTGCTTTTTAGCTGGAGAGGGTAATAATTGTCAGAAAAATAGCAAGTCTTCCCAGGTAGGGTGAATAAACTCAAAATCTGGAGAAAAGAAAAGGCTGCCTGCCATCTGGTGGAGCCGTTCAGGGAGTGTGGCCTGGGAGTCTAGAAACCAGAGCCAGGAAATTCTCAGCTGGGGGACTTGGCTGGCTCTAGCAGCCAGTCAGCCCCTAGAGAAATGTGCTGCTGCTGCTGTCCAAAAGGGAAGGCCATCCAGAGAGCACTGCTGGGCCGGGGCCGGGGCCGGGGCCGGGGCCTCGGTGAGGCAGGCCTGCTCCCATAAATTGGCTGGGAAAGGGGGGTTTCTAGTCTGGTCCGACAGGATCCTCAATTCCAACTTGCTTGTCCAGGATTCCTGCCTTGAGAGCCAAAGTGGGCATTATGGACCAAACTCTGGCCTGTATTTCAGTGTTTCAGTGACCTAGATGAGCACTAATAAGGACTTTTTCATTCACAAAGGGAAGTACAGTACTTCCTCATCTTCTACCCCATGGGCCAGGCAACAAGGGATAGCTCACGCTCTGACTAAAAGGAAGTAGCTTTTATTCAGTTCCTGTTGGTTATTGCCATGTAAAAATGGGTGCCCAGTGTTGTTGGATCTTTTCATTTCTTTATTTTATTTGGGGGGAATATATATATATATATTTGAAACAATGTATATATTATTTAAAGTATTACATATAGTATTACATATGTCTCCTTTTTCCTCCATTGACTTCCCCCTGGCCACCAGCACATGTCCTCACCCCCTTGGTCTCTGTGTCCATTGGTTATGATTATATGCATGTGTAAGTCCTTTGATTGATTTCTTACCTCCCCTGGATCTTTTCATTTCTTTGAGGGAAGTCAGAAATCCAGATTTGTGAGAAATTTACCTAATTGTAAATCTTAATTCAGTATTTTAGGAAAAGCTAGTATGTGACCTTTTCTACCAGCAGGTGTTAGAACTATAAATATTTGCAGCCTTCACTGTCCTAATTCTCATTTACTTCAACTACTGAACTCTAGTTCCTGCCCACCCTCCTTTTTTTTAGAGTTTTCACTCTCTCTAAAATCAGTGGGGAAACTTCAGAGCTAAGCATCAGAAAGATAAGAGTTAGATATGTTTGAGGGGGGAGATGAAATCTACTTTGGGGGG